GTAATAAGCATTTAAGGTTACTCCATGTCTTTTCAGTGCTTGCTAACTCATTTCTTTTTAGTGTGGTATGATGTGCCACATCTTGATTGCTTCTAACTTTGGCAATTATGAATAAAACTACTATAAACATTTCTGTATGGGTTTTTGTGTACACATAAGTTTCCATCTCCTTTGGGTAAATACCAAGAAGCTGGATTACTAGATCATCTGGTTAGAGTATGTTTAGTTTTGTAGGAAACCAACAACCTGTCTTCCAAAGTGGCTGTACCATTTTGCATTCCCACCAGCAGTGAATGAGAATTCCTGTTGTTCCACAGCCTCGTCAGTATTTGGTGTTATCAGTGTCCTGTACTTCAGACATTCTGATAGGTGTAATGGTATCTTGTTGTTGTTTTAATTTACATTTCCCTGATGGCATATGATGTGGAGCATCTTTTCATGGGCTTATTGCCATCTGTGTGTCTTCTATGATGAGGTGTGTGTGAAGGTCTTTGGTCCCTATTTTAATTGATTTTTTTTCCCTATTGTTGACTTTGAAGAGTGGTTTTTATTTTGAGTAACAGTCCTTTATCAGTTGTGTCTTCTGTAGATATTTTCTTCCAGTCTGTGGTTTGTCTTCTCATTTGTCTTGACATTGTCTTGTGTAGAGCAGAAGTTTTTAATTTCAGTGAAATCGAATTTATCCGTTATTTATTTCATGGATCTTGCCTTTGATTTTGTATTTAAGAGTCATTGACATACCCAAGGTCACCCGGATTTTCTCCTGTGTTATCTTCCAGGAGTTGCATAGTTTTGCAGTTTACTTTTAGGTCTATCATCCATTTTGAGTTAATTTTTATGAGAAGTATAAGCTGTGTGTGTGTGTGTGTGTGTGTGTGTGTGTGTGCGTGTGTGTGTGTGTGTGTTTTATTTAAATGTCCAGTTGTTTCAGACCATTTGTTGAAAAGACCGTCTTCCCTCCATTGTATTGCCTTTGTTAAAGATAGTTAACTGTTTTTATGTGGTTCTATTTCTAGTCTGTTTTGTTCCATGGAACTTTTTTGTCCATTTTTAACCAGTACCATACTTGATTAGTATATCTGTCTTGATTACTATAGCTGTAGAGTGAATCTTGAAGTTGAGTAGTGTTAGTCTTCCCACTTTGTTGTTCTCCTTCAATACTGTATTGGCTATTCTGTGTCTTTTGCCTTTACATTTTAGAATCAGTTTGTTGATATACACAAAATAATATGCTGGTATTTTGGTTGGGGTTGCATTGACTCTATATTTCAGATTGGGAAGAATGGGCATCTTGACAGTATTGAGTCTTCCTATCCATTTATTCAGTTCTTTGATTTTGTTTGTTGGAGTTTTGGCATGTTCCTTATATAGATCTCAGACATATTCTGTTAGATATGTACTTGAGTATTTTATATTTTTGGTTATTAATGTAAGTGATATTGTTTTTAATATCAAATTCCACTTGTTCATTGCTACTATATTCATTGCTGGAAAGCTGTTGACTTTTTTATGTTAACCTTGTATCCTGCAACCTTGATGTAATCTTTTTATTAAGTTCCAAGAATTTTTTTGGTCAATTCTTTGGGATTTCTATATAGGTGATCATGTCATCTATGCCCTTTCCTTCTAAAGGGTTTCAGGAATAACTTTTTTCTTTTAATACATTAGAAACCATTTAGTTTTATTAAATATATAAAGTTCATACTTGGTCTAAATAAAGCACTTAAATAAAGCACACCACTGTGTGCTCCTTGGTGAAAAAATAGATTACAAACAATCAAGAAACATTTTTGGGGATGCCTGGGTGGCCCAGTCAGTTAAGTGTCCGACTTCCGTGCAGGTCATGATCTCACGGTTAGTGGGTTTGAGCCCCACTTTGGGCTCTGACAGCTCAGAGCCTGGAGCCTGCTTCGGATTTTCTCTCTCCCTCTCTCTCTTTCTCTCTCTCTCTCTGCCCCTCCCCCACTCACAGTCTCTCTCAAAAATAAATAAATGTTAAAAAAATAAAAGCATTTTTGTTCTCCTGATACAATCATCTGAGAGTTGTGTGTTCTTTGGTTTTCAAGACTGAGGCCAATTATTTAGTAAACATGAATGTACAATAAACGTATGCCCTTGTAGAAAAGTAAGCTATACTTTTCTCTGATGTATGTGAATATTCTTTCATTTCAATCACATCAGCTGATATTCCTGACTTCTATATATTCATGACTTCACTATTATGAGGATACATCAGGATTTTAAAGGACTCCCAACTTTTTTTCCTTAAAGAGCAATTGGTATAGCAATTTATTTATAAAATTCACAGTGTTCCTTTGCCTTACTTTAATGTAGAAGAATGATGCCCTAAATACATACTTCATGTTGGTTTACATCAATGTTCTATCAGCCTCAAAAAGCATCTCTCATATATTTTACATTACAGGGTCTTCAGTCTTCTGTGGAAAAGTAGATATACACAAAGCCTACCTAATATAAAAGGGTCTCATATCTTTGATGATCAATCAGCTACATGATTTCATATATTCACTAGGAACAAAGGCAGAGCATGAAATGATAATATTTGCTCTTCAAAAAATCTCAAATACTATCCAATATAAAAAGGTACATTGAAAATATTTGTTTGTCCAGATATCCATCCCCTTGATCCTTTGAGGCATACTATCAAATAAGTTTTCTAAGTGTTTTAATTTTGAATTATTCTCTAGAGTTAATACTCTGATTTAGAGTAATTTCTGAAAAGTGTTAATGACTTGCTGCTTTTACTGTGAATTCAAGAAAAGTTGTTGATTGTTGTCATTGTGTTGAGCTTTTTATTTGTTAGGATGGAATAGTGTCTTTCAGGCTCCTTACGTGTATAATCAGAATCTAGAAGTCTGTATGGTGGTTTTTTTTTAAGTATTTATCTTCTACCAGATTTGGTTTCAACTCTGTTGTTAATTCAAGTATTGATAAGAGTGAGATTACTGAGCTCTCTTCAGCAGCACATATACTAAATTTGGAACGATACAGAGAAGATTAGCGTGGCCCCTGCGCAAGGATGACATGCAAATTCATGAAGCGTTCCATATTTTTTTTCACTCATATGAGGACTTTAAGAGACAAAACAGATGAACATAAGGGAAGGGAAACAAAAATAATATAAAAACAGGGAGGGGGACAAAACAGAAGAGACTCAGAAATATGGAGAACAAACTGAGGGTTGCTAGAGGGGTTGTGGGGGGGGGATGGGCTAAATGGGTAAGGGGCACTAAGGAATCTACTCCTGAAATCATTGTTGCACTATATGCTAACTAATTTAGATGTAAATTTTAAAAAATAAAAAATAAAATTAAAAAAAGAGATTACTAAGGATTAAGATAGAAAAGAGAAAAAAAAGCTAATATAGTTATCTTTAACTCTTTGCAAGATAAACTGAGTATAATTTGATTATTTTGTTGACTGCTCCTTCTTCAAAAGAATTTTGCTCTCCCTGGAAAAACATATCTAGGGTTGTTAATTTTGACTCCTGTACTGTGTAGGAAAGAGAGGAGAGTGGAATGTAGTGAACTTTGAATAGCTAATGAGCACTCAAAGAGATAATGACAGCATATCATGATTTGTAGTTTTAGAAAGTGGTTTTACATTCATTATCTTATTTGGTATTCACATTACTTAGAATGGTTGATATAGAGGTTTATCTCTTTTGTTTTCTAATTGAGGAAATTGAGAAACTGTTAATCTTGTCCAAGTTGATACCTTGTAAAGTAAATAGTAGAGATGACATGAAAATAAAAGGTTTCTTGTTCAGAGGCTCATGTACTTTCTACTGAACTACAGTCTCTTTTCTTTTTTTATGTTAAAAAATTTTTTAACGTTTATTTATTTTTTGAGAGATAGAGAGAGACAAAGTGTGAGTGGGTGAGGGGCAGAGAGAGGGAGTCACAGATTCTGAAGCAGGCTCCATGCTCCAAGTTGTCAGCACAGAGCCTAGCGTGGCGCTGGAACTCATGAACCGTGAGATCATGAGCTGAGCTGAAGTCGGACACTCTAACCTACTGAGCCACCCAGGCACCCTAAACCGAAGTTTTCTATAGAAGATGGTGTCTAGCATTTAGCAACATAGCATATGTATCTTTACCATTGTTTTGCCTTGTGACCTTGGAAATAATGATTTAACCACTTTTTACTGTGTACTCTGTTCTTCAACCAGAGTTTGATACTTGGCAATTTATGTCCCATAGAGTTATAGCACTTAAAGTGATTGAGAAGAAAGATTTAATTATTTTAATTTTAATTTTTCATTATTTGCCGCAATTATTACCTATTTTTATTTACAGTGTCATTTTTACTTATTATAAATGTTTTATCATTATTATTACTTTAATGAGACATTACATTTTACCCACATTTCACATTTAGAATGGAAGGAAAGAACAAATTCAGAAAACTAGAGAAATGGATGCTAGAATTTATACATTCACATCAGTGCTACTTTTCCAGACAGTGATCTTGAGAAGCTATGTACTTGCTGCCATTGCTCAAAATATCCAGTGGATCGGGGGCGCCTGGGGGCTCTGTCAGTTGAGCATCTGTCTTCGGCTCAGGTCATGATTTCATGGTTCATGAGTTCGAGTCCTGAGTCAGGCTCTGTGCTGACAGCTGGAAGTCTGCTTCAGATTCTGTGTCTCCCTCTCTCTCTGCCCCTTCCTTACTCATGCTCTGTCTCTCTCAAAAATAAATAAACATTAAAAAATTTTTTTTAAAAATCCAGTGGATCTCATTTTTAAAATAATGGCTATAGGATTTTATGCATCTATACAAAGATGTATCTATTCAAAATGAAAATATTAACTCAGCCAACAGTTGTTGGGTTTACATGATACTGATAATTAACATTCAGAACATTTTTAACTAGTGTATGTAGATTCAGAAACAATGGATTTTATGAGCATTTTTGTAGAGTAGATTGATAGAATGAGTTATCTTTAAATTGATGATTGTTTTTTTTCCCCCTTTAGTCAGCAGATAAGCAGCGAGCTCTAGAAGAAACCAAAGCCTACACCACCCAGTCCTTAGCAAGTGTTGCGTATCTGATAAATACCTTGGCCAACAATGTCCTGCAGATGCTGGATATCCAAGCATCCCAGCTACGAAGGATGGAATCTTCAATCAATCATATTTCACAAGTGAGACCACACTGCTTTTCTATTTTGCCTCTGAGGAACACTATAAACACAAGCAATCTGTATAATGCTGGCAGGTTTTATCATGTGAGTTAACTCACATGTATGATTTGCAAAATACAAATTCAGTATCAGGTTGTTTTTGATTCTTTTTGTGGAGCAATTCTTTATGAATTTGACAGGGAAGCAGATTTTAATACTTTTATTAAAATTCAGTAGTCATGTTAAAATAATCATCTTTGGGGGCGCCTGGGTGGCGCAGTCGGTTAAGCGTCCGACTTCAGCCAGGTCACGATCTCGCGGTCCGTGAGTTCGAGCCCCGCATCGGGCTCTGGGCTGATGGCTCAGAGCCTGGAGCCTGTTTCTGATTCTGTGTCTCCCTCTCTCTCTGACCCTCCCCCGTTCATGCTCTGTCTCTCTCTGTCCCAAAAATAAATAAACGTTGAAAAAAAAAAATTAAAAAAAATAAAAAATAAAAAATAAAATAAAATAAAATAATCATCTTTGAGTGAAAATTTCTCTGGTTTCTTCCAACTTGTACTGAATTCCACATTTCTTTATCTTCAAAAAAAAATATTAATGTGATAGCCTAATCACTTCTTTACATTTTTTTTTCTGTTGGTAGGACTTTTGTTTAATCAGGATGGTACCGTATCTCAATAAAGAAAATATTAATTTAAGTGAACTTATAAAATTATCTTTATATAAAACTTAAAAAAGTTTAATGTTATACTTTTTTCCATTGTAAAAGCCATTCCCTTAATATATAGAAAAATAAAAAAATGGAAAAACAAACCCTTTCACCACTGTTTAAACTTTTTACTTTCAATACTTTATTCCAATACATTTTTCCTATAAATAGTTTTAAAAACGTAGCTGTGATTATATTATGTATAGAATTTTGGATTTTGTTCTTTTAACTTACTATGACAACAGATATCTTCCCATGATGTTACAAGCTCTTCATAAACATTTTCAATGGCTGTATAATATTGCATGTGTATGTCACAGCTTTCGTAACCATTTCTGTATTTGGGGGCCATGTAAATAATACTGCAATGAAAAGCCAATTTGTAATTGCAAAATGAATTTTAAAAAACATTAAAAAGATAAAGGTTTTGATCTGCCTGCTTCTCTTTGATGAGATCTTTGGAGCTTTTCTAGTTTAGCTGTCTTGTTACTGAGTAGCAGAGTTCAGGATGCTTCTGAAATTGACTAATCCAACAAACTTTCAAAGTCTGAAGCTTAATTTGTGTAATTAAATAAAATAGAGTCCAGATAATCAAACCAGATATGAGAAGACTCACTTATATTTGTTATTTTAAAGTTCACCAAACTGATTTAGAGGGACTTCTTGTTATTTAATACTATTTAATCTTAAAAATGTATTTGCCACTGTAAGGTTTTCTTTACATCCCATATGAAATTCTGTAGACATTGTATAATTTACTGCTTGCTATATTGCTGTATCTCTTAAAGTAAAAAACAAACCCTCCCCAAACCCCCCAAGAATTGGTGAGTTTTAACGAGAAGTAAATTTTATTTGGAAGTGACCCCTTAGAAGAAATAATAATAATGAAATAGATGAACTTGGTTTTCTGTAAAAGGAGGGATATTGACAAATAACTAATCTGATAGAGAATTTTGGGGTTTACAATTAAGAGTTTTAGAATTTATGCATATTTGAAGTCTTAACAAAGGACCAAAAAAGACTATGAGAAGAAAAGTTCAAATGCAGAAGAGACATTAATAGAGTTTCTAAAAAGGATGAACAATTTGTTATTAGTTTGTGAAAGTAGAAGAGATTGTGAAGATAGATGATGACAATAAGCAAATAATAATGAAAGATAATCATCTGTTTTTTAAATTTTTTTTTTTCAACGTTTTTATTTTATTTTTGGGA